ACAGAGGGAACCGGAGCACCAAGGTCGTTGGAGAGGGTTTCAAGAGTCCGGTGTCTCAGTTGAAAGGCACAGGTGTGGAGGGGGTTGGGGACGCACCAAGGACACGTGGGTGGGGAGTTGTGTGTGGAGGCATAGAGATCTGAGAGCAGTTACCATTCAGGGGTTGCTTGGACATCAAGGACAAGATGGGCCCCAGGAAAGCAGAGGATGGAGAAAAGGGATTGGGGCCTGGGACTGGGAGGTTACTAGGGCCGGGAGGGGGAAGTCCCTGAGACACCAACAAGGTGGGAGCTGTGGGTAAGACCTGGAGTTCAAAGTATAGGGGTCAATTGGAGACACCTGCTGGGCTCACAGACAGGGGCCAGGAAAAGACACAGAAATATGAGAACCTAGTAAGGCTGTGAACCTAGGCAAAGAGGTGGGTTTGAGTTTCCTGATCTTACTGTCTCCTTGCACAGGACTGAGAGGGGTGGACATAGAGTTGTTACTCCTCTCTGGGAGCTCTCAGATCCCAATATTTACAAGTTTTTGTAAAAAATATTTTTATTGATTTCATAGAGGAAAGAAGGGAGAGAGAGAGAGAGAGAGAGAGAGAGAGAGAGAGAGAGAAAGAGAGAGAGAGAGAAGCATCAATGATGAGAGAGGATCATTAATCAGCTGCTCCTGCAAGCCCCACACTGGGGAATGAGCCCACAACCCGGGCATGTGCCCTGACTGGGAATCGAACCTTGAACTGATTCATAGGTGGATGCTCAACTACTTAGCCACACCAGCTGTGCCTGATAGCTTTTTTTAGGGTGCAACCAGACTGTTTTTGAGTCCAGGATCAACTGTGTGAACTCAAATCACTTCCCATCTTTGAACCTCCGTTTCCTCAACTATATAGTGAGGCTAATAATATAGTTGTGATGTTTCTATGAGCACAGGAATCTAAAGCATTCACCCTGCCAGCACACAGTAGGTGCCTGGTTAATTATTGCTGTTAGATGAGAGGGAAAATGGAGGCCAGGAGAGATTCCCAAAGCAACGAAAAGTAGTGCTTAAAATCCCTGCAAACCCCCAGCTGTTGGGTTCACAGTTCCTCCCACAATTACTTTTCAGGGTCTCAGGCCAATCCTGCTATCATTCTGGATATGCTCTGTTCCTGTGCTTCCAGACCCTCTGGCCTGGGTGAGAGGGTGGGGATGGTGGTGCTAAGTGCTACAGTACTCTAGGCTCATGTCCACTTCATCCTGGCAATAGGTGGTAAAAGGTAGGGAGCATAAATCAATATTTTGCAGGTAAGAAACTGAGATTCAGAAAAGAAACAATTTCCCCAGGATTCCACAGTCAATGAGTGGCAGAGCTGGGATTTGAACCTTAATTATCAGGCCACTAGATAGTGCCAGGGGAGTTGGTTCTTTCCCGTGGAAGGGCAAATCCCCATGTAGTGAACCAAAAGGGTCTAAAAGAGGAAAATGAGAATCCAGGGAGTGAGCACCCACCTTAGCCCCAAACTCTAGCGTGGGGTAAAAACAGATCCATCCAGAAATTGTACGCTTAATGTGTCAAAGCAGGAAGGAACTTAGAGTTCATATAAAGTTACACTTTGTAGATAGACAAACAGACTAGGAGAGAAGCAGGGACTTTCCAAGGTCACATAAAGTTACACCCTAGCCTAGCGCCATACTTCCAGGTGGTAGTGAAGGTACTTTTAGGAGGCATCAGGGGAAGTGTCAGCTCCATTTAATTCTTCATGTATGTAGATTGCACTCCTGTGGCCATGATGACCTCCCCTCTAGGGTCCAGTCCAGCCCAAGCAGCCAGGAATGATCATAGTTCCACATTGAACTGAAGTTCCCAGTTCCAGGCCAAGCAGGGCAGATATAAATAGAAACCTTTTCCTTTCCTTGGCCTCAAGCTCTGTGCAGAACAAGAAGCAAACGGTTAGGTCTGCATGGGGGTCAGGAGAGACTTCCAATTCTCCAGCTGCCACACATTTGTTTTGTGATCTTGGGATAATGACCACCCCCTCTCTATGCCACTAGTTCCTCTTCAGTATTTCAGGGATGGACCAGTGGTGTGATACCTGAGGGTCCTACTTGCAGTCTGCCATAGAGTTAACAGTATTGGTTCTGAAGCTAGGAGACCTAGTTCAAATATATACTGGCTTTGCCACTTACTAACTGGACCACTGTGGGCAAGGGACTTCTCTTCACACTTCAGTTTTCCTCATTGGAAACTGAACATGTCTGTGTGATTGGGGTGTTGTGAAGATGCAATGAAACACCATTGACAACATTTAGCTCTTTGGCACTTGGAACTAGCAGTAACTATTATTACTATTTTTTTTATTTTAAAAGGACATTCAAGAATTTAGCAACAAAGCAATTCAGTAAAATGTATTAGCTATTTACTTATTTATCTAGGCTTTTGAAATCTCTAGATTTTAAGGTCTAGGTCTATACACTGGAATGTAAAATTTGGAGCCATGGCAATAGCTAATCCCATCATAATGCCAGATTAGGGGGTATCAATGGGTTTCCCTCACTGTGGGAAAATTGCTTAAAAACCAAAATATGTATTTAAGGAAAAATTACTGAAGCCCCTTGTAAATTTCTCAAACACTGGTGAACACCCAAAGCATTGGACCAAAAGATCCAGTGACCAAACTATAACATTATGAATTTAGAAAATGACTTTCTCAGTGAGGAAACATTCGCATGTCTTAACTCCTGTCCTAGTCCCAGAGCCTGTAGAGGTGAACCCACTGGGGCTGGCTGGGGAGAAGAGGAAAGTTTGTTCCAGAAGGAACTGTCTAAGGCAGCGGTTCTCAACTTGTGGGTTGCGACCCCTTTGGCGGTCGAACGACCCTTTCACAGGGGTCACCTAAGACCATCCTGCATATCAGATATTTACATTACGATTCATCACAGTAGCAACATTACAGTTATGAAGTAGCAACAAAAATAATTTTATGGTTGGGTCACAACATGAGGAACTGTATTTAAAGGGCCAGAAGGTTGAGAACCACTGGTCTAAGGGATCATAGGATTTCTAATCATGGAAAAGAAAAGAATAAATCACTTGTTGAAAGACTGCATATTTTTTTCCAGGTCTAAAGAAAGAACAAAGCATGTATAATGGAATCCAACTCTTGGAAGACAGCAAAAAGGGAATTTTCAAAGAATTTCTTGTACAATCTAGCTGCTCAAATTTGCATATAATCATTTCAGTCTTTATAAACAACCTTCAAAAATGACTTATTATTATTTTATTTATTTATTTATTTATTTATTTATTTATTTATTATCTTAAGTTTTACATATGTCTCCTTTTCCCCCAATTGACCCCCCTTCCCCCCACCCAACCATTCCCACCCCGGGCAAGTCCCCACCGCCCCAGTGTCTGTGTCCATTGGTTATGCTAATATACATGCATACAAGTCCTTTGGTTGACTTATGAGTATTATTAATGTCCCAAACTTCTAAGATTCTTTGCTGAAATTCTCTTTACCCTCCTATCTCCCCTTTCCCAGCACTGGGTTGGTCACTGCGGGACGCCTTCAAAAATAATTTTGCCTCCATGTGACTCCTGAGCGTTGGAGTGTCTGCCTCAGTTTCATCCTCTTTCTGTGCTGTGCAGGGGGCCGGGAGAACAAGATGCCTATTCTCATTTCCAAGATCTTCAAAGGCTTGGCAGCTGACCAGACAGAGGCCCTCTTTGTTGGGGATGCCATCCTGTCCGTGAACGGGGAAGACCTTTCCTCTGCCACTCATGACGAGGCGGTGCAGGTTCTGAAGAAGACAGGCAAAGAAGTGGTATTGGAAGGTAAGCACTGGGGAACCCAGGGTGTTTAGCTTGTCCCTACCTCCTCCGGGCCTCAAGCGGTGGGGTCTGGGAGGTGGGCAGGATTGAAAACAGAAATAGAACTTGGAGACCTGCCTTGAGACTGCATGGGATGGTGGGAGAGCCGGCGCAGAGCCAGACAGACCTGGTTTTCATTTCCTCTGCCCCACTCCCTATCTCTGTGGCCTTGGGTAAGTCCCTGCACTGTAGTTTCCTCATCTGCAAGTCAGGTCTGTAATTTCTGCCTTGCTGGGTTGTGTGAACAGGACAAAAGGTCCATGGCAGGATTTGTCACTCAATGAGTGACTCAGGGGAAGAGAGAAGGGACTGGAGATGGGACTGCTAAGACTCTTCCCTGAGGAACCAGGAGAGCTCTGAAGTCCCAGTTCTTCTAGCACTCAGGGCCCCTAAGACCCTGACACCCATTCTCATTTGGGAGAAGACTTGGCCTTTATGTGCAGAATGTCAATGAACAAGGATCAGAGAGGAGGTGTTTTTTTCTTTTGTTTGTTTTGTGGGTGGTTCCCCTCCACGATCCCCTCACTGTGTGGTCTTGGATCAGACCTTTGCCTTCTCTAGGCCTCAGTTTCCCCATTGGTTGTTATAGGCCTCTTGCTGTGGTTGTTGCGTATCTGCCTTTTGCCATCTCTCTCAAGAGATTTCTGCTTGGCTCAGCCCTTTCCTCAAACTTCAGCCTGCAATTTCCGGAAGTTGTGGGGGCCTGAGGAATGTGTCTGGCTCATGGCCCAGAACAGGCACAGGGAGGTGGCGGGGGCTGATGGAGAATGCCATGCTGAGCTGAGCCCCAGGCCCAGATCCTGACAGGTTGCCTTTGTTTCCCCAAATGGGTCTCTAAGAGGCCACAGAAATAAACAGGCTTTGGGTCTCTGGGTGATCTTTGGCATTCTTGTTCTCTCTCAGTTTTTGTTTTTAATATTTTTTAATTAATTTATTTTTTTTTTTAGAGAGAGGAAAAGAGAAAGAGGGGGAGAGAGAGAGAGAGAGAGAGAGAGAGAGAGAAACATTGCTGTGAGAGAGAAACATCAATCAGCTGTCTCTTGCTCTCACCCAGACCTGGGATTGAACCCGCAACCTGGGTATGTGCCCTTACCGGAATCGAACCTGCCACCTATTGGTGCATTGGACCATGCGCCAACCAACCAAGCCACATGGGCCAGGGCTCTCTCAGTTTTGTTTTACTTTTACATTTTAGGTGTATCTATTTAAATGCTACTGGTGCAGTTTTTATTTTTTGGTGCACTTTTAACATATACAGTGTATTTATTTATTTAGAGAGTAAGTTTAGTGAAGCTGGGGACAGTGAAACAAGGAAGAGCCTAGGATAGAAGAAGCAACAGGAGAGAGACTAGGTGGGACTGCTTAGGTTCTCTAGAAACATTATGGGAAAGAAGTGAGCCAAGGCGGGACTGCTGTCAGCTCACTGGAGAGTCAGAGAAAAGGGGGCCTTGGGGACAGGTTCTGGGGGGGTTACAGCCCATTGCTCCCCTGGTTGCAGGTCTGTGAGGACCCTTAGAGTTTAGGAGATGCATGCCTGCAGGGGAAGAAGAGGAGGAAGGGAAAGGCGCGGGAGTGCTCCCGGGAGGGAGAGAGCGCGCCTACAGTGTATATTTTTAAAAAGCTGACGCTGCAGTGTTGGTCCCTAAAAGCATAAGTACATCAATCATATTTTAACAGCAGTTATATTAATGATATGGCTATAAGATACTTTTTCTCCCAGATGTCTTGTTACTTTGATATTTATAGCCATTAATGCAATTTGAAACAGTTGAACTTTATCAAATTGTCATATTTTGGTTGACTTGAAAAGCTCTTTTAGTTTTTGCTGTTTGAAAGTCTAGCCTATAGGTGGCAAAATTTCTACTATAGACACATTTTTAATCCACATGGAGGTCCCCCTCAGCCCCTCACCTTTAGGTTGAGAATGTTTCTATTTGGGTTCTGAGTGTGGATCATTTTGAGAAGGTAGCATCTCTGAGTGTTAGATAGTTGAAGCATCTCCTGGTTTAGGAGCTAATATCCAAACCTTCCATCTAATTCATTAACCCTATTCCTTCCTCACTAAGTCAAGAAACATTTGCAGAGACCTACTGTGTACCTGGTGTGCAGAGCATTGAGTTAGAAGCTGAGCTAGACCCAGGCCTCTCTTGAAGGAGCTCACCATCTGGTAGGAGAGATAAAACATAAACACTGTCTCTTCTACACAAACTATTAAAAAATCAGTTTCTAAACACCTGTCTGCTTTGTGGCGAATCTCTGGCCTTGGTAAGACCTTTGCTTCTCTGGGCCTCAGTTTCTATATTGGCTAAGGTTAGATTAGATCAGAGATAACCAATAGCTTTCATTATGAATGTCACCTTCTCTGGTGGTCAAGCCATACTGGCCTGACAAGCTTGGCCTCTCTGTTGCCCAAGATAGGATTTGGCACATAGTAGGCACTTTATAAATGTTAGTAACTCCCCTCCTGTTTCACTGCATTTATATAGAATTGATATTATTTCCTCCTTAAATGTTTAGTAGCATTCTCCAGGGAAGCCACCTTTATAGAAATGTTTTTAACTCTGATTTTAATGTTGTTAATAGGGTAAGTTAGAGGATCTATTTTTTTCCTTGAATGAACGTTGGTAGTTTTTGTCTTTCAAGGAATTTGTCCTTTTCATCCAAGGTGTCAGATTTATCGACATAAAGTCATTTATTATTTCTGCCTTTTGGATGAGAGGCCTCGTTTGCTTTCTCTTTTTCTCCCCTCCCTTTATGCTGCTCTACTCAATGGTTTTGAGGGCACTTCTCAGTCTTATGGGGGAGACAGCTGGGCAAATCTACCAGGTCACCAACATGTCACACATGCTGAGATAGGGTCTGCCCAGGGATTGGAGGAGGAAGTGCTTTCTTCTCTCTGGGTTGTCAGGAAAGACTTCCTGGAGAAGGGGATGCTGCCACTTTATGAACAATAAGCAGAGGTGAGTATGGGGTGGAGGAAGGCTTTCCAGGCAGGGGACCTGTGTGAGCAAAACCATAGAGGGGTAAAGTGACTTGACTTTAATAATTCAGCTTTATCTGAGCCTATGGTGTGAGGAAGTGAAAAAAAGAGGAGGCTAACCGGATTGACAGATTCTGCAGAGCCAGACAAAAGGAATTGGACTTTCTCTGGAGAGAAAGGAGGAGCCATTACAAGGTGTTCGGCAGGGTTCACATGGTCAGCTCTGAGCTTTAGCAGCATCACTCTGGTTTGGAGGGAGGCACAAATAGATGCTCAATGGCAACGTGGAGGCGAGGCCATGAACAGGAGGGAGAAGGTGATGGGGCCATGAACAGGAAGGAGAGGGTGGTGGTTTGATTTAAGCAGGCTTGCATAAGAAGAGTTTGGAGGTTGTGGCCTTCTTTGTTAATTTCCCCCCGGCTTTTTCTTAGTTGAAGTCTCTTTTGAGTTGCTTTCCTGGCCCAGCAAACTTACAGAAGGAGGTCATTTCAACCAAGGCAGTAAAAGGGTGGGAGTGGGCACTGGGGTCAAGAATCTTTGAGTTGCATGGATGATCTGAGAAGCTTGGAGGAGGTGAGGGAGCTAAGGTCCTGGCTTGTGGCTGGTCCTTGAGATTTGGAGGAGTCTATGTGGAGAAGGTAAGAACTGGGCAGTGGCCTGAGTCTGGAGCCAGTGCTCTTGAGAGCCTCTCTGAGCCTAGGTTCTCTGCTAGAACCCAGTCACTGGTCACATTGTTCAGAACTTCCCTGCCCCTATCTCACTCATAAGCTATCTCCAAGGGACCATGGAAAGGGAGAGGGAGAGAGAGATAGAAACATCAATGATGAGAGAGAATCATTAATCTGCTGCCTCCTGCATGCCCACAATGGGGATCAAGCCCGCAACCTGGTCATGTGCCCTGACCAGGAATTGAACCTTGACTTTCTGGTTCATAGGTTGATGCTCAACCACTGAGCCACACCGGCCGGGTAGGTGGCCTATCCTTTGTATGAGAACTTGGCAGGACGGCTGGGCATCTTTCCTGAGGCCTGGGTCTTGGTAGGTACAGAGCTTCCTGAGAATGTCCTAGAAGGACAAATGTCACTGACAAACTCTGGGTGCCAGCCAGAGCCCTACTTCTTTGGCCTAAGTCAGGGGCTCATCTGAGCATCAGCAACCCTAGTCTGCCTTCTGTACCTTTTCCTCTGCGAGGTCAGGGGTTTACACAGATGTCTTGAGCCTGCTCTCAGTCACAGGGGTGTGTTTGTGACCAGTCTGGGCCCAAGCTGGCAGCCAACATACCTTTGCCTGCTACTTAGAGAGGCCCATTGTGTGCACAGATCTGGAGCCAGGGCCAGCCTGGGACCTTGAAGACCAAGCCTGTGGGAAAAGGGGAACAGCCAAATGCCTCCCCTCCCTCCACCTCCAGGGTGGCTGGCAAGACAGAGTCAACAGTGAGCCTGTGATGCATTAAAATATAATACTAAAGGACAGTGCAAATTAATGAGGTCAATTTTGGTACTTTGTACAAAGGGAAAGTACATTCCACATAAAGATCAGGCTTTTAAAAGATACAGGAATAGCCCTAGCCGGTTAGGCTCAGTGGATAGAGCGTTGGCCTGTTTACTGAAGGGTCCCGGATTCAATTCTGGTCAAGGGCACATGCCAGGGATACGGGCTCCATCCCCAGTAGGGGGCGTGCAGGAGGCAACCAATCAATGATTCGTTCTCATCAGTGATTTTTTTTTTAATTTTTTTATTGCTTAAAGTATTACAAAGGGTATTACATATGTGTCCTTTTTTCCCCCCCCCCGCCCTTGACAATCCCCTGGCCTCCCCTACCCCCCAGTGTCTTATGACCATTGGTTATGCTTATATGCATGCATACAAGTCCTTCGGTTGATCTCTTACCCCCCCTCTCTCCTGCCCCCCAACCCTCCCCGGCCTTCCCGCTGCAGTTTGACAATCTGTTTGAGGCAGCTCTGCCTCTGTACCTATTATTGTT